TCTGTTGTTGTTAGGTGCCATCGGGTCATCTCCAACTCATAGTAACCTCACATATAGCAGTATGAAACACTGCCTTGTCCTGTGCCAGCCCCATGATCCTTGCTATACCTGAGCCCATCGTTGCAGCCACTGTGTCAATCCAGCTCATTGAAGGCCTTCCCCTTTTTCGTTGACCCTCCACATTGCCAAGCATGATAACCTTCTCCAGGGATTGGTCCCTTCTTACAATATGACCAAAGTAGGTGAGATGAGGCTGGCCATTCTTGCTTCCAAGGAGCATTCTGGCTGCACTTCTTCCAGAACAGATTTGTTAGTCCTTTTAGCAGTCCATAGTGCTTTCAACATTCTTCACCAGTACAACTCAAAAGCATCAACTCTTTTATGGTCTTCCTTTTTCATTGTCCAGCTCTCACATGCATATGAGGTGATTGAAAATACCATGGCTTGTGTCAAGCACACCTTAGTCTTCCAGGAAATATCTTTGCTCTTCATCATTTGAAAGAGATCCTTTGCAACAGATTTGTCCAATGCTATGCGGCATCTGACATCTTGACAGCTGCTTCCATTGGTGTTGATTGTAGAATCAAGTAATATGACATCTTTGACAACTTCAGTCTTTTCTCCATTTATCATGATGCTGCTTATTGGTCCCGTTGTGAGGATTTTTGTTTTCTTCATATTGAAGTATAATCCATACTGAGGACTACAGTCTTCAGTCTTCATCAGTGTTTCAAGTCATCCTCACTTTCAGCGAGCAAAGTTGTGTTGTCTGCATAATGTAGATTGTTAATGAGTCTTCCTCCAATCCTGATTCCACATTCTTCTTCATATAGCCCCACTTCTGTAAAAATTGACAGCCTTGGAAACCCTCTGTTGCAGTTCCACTCTGCCCTCTAAGGGCGCTGTGAGCTGGAATGGACTCTATAGCACAGGGTTTTGTTTTGTTTTTAGCAATGAGGAGGTGGTAAATGCCAATTCTGGCTGGAGAACTCTGTCCCCAGATGAAAAATGGTTTGTTTTTCCTACAAACGCTGAGTACAAAGTGCCCTGTGAGATAGCTGAGAGCCACTGCCTGCTCTGTGTGTGCTGGGCACCTCAGGAGATGGTCCGCCCGTCTTTCAGCCGCGAGCTGTTGGATGGCAGTGCCAATGAGAAGGCGCTCTTGTGAGCTAGGAGTATGTCTGAGCATCATCAGAATAACTAGAATATCAGGAAATGTTTTGTTTGGTGGCGCAGTCACTCCACTTCGCTGATGAGAACACGTAACTGGAAAGACGAAGTGATCGAATGATGTCAGATGTCACAGCACTGGAATTGGAGCCCACATCTCTAGGTCATAAGGAGTCTGTGAGCTTAGCCTGAGGCTTCACCTGGGCACCTTAGTAGAGGTGAGACAGGCACCTGGAGCCACGGGAGGCAGACAGGCAAAAACAAACAGAAAAGGCCAAACCTGTGCGTGGTGAGCCGGTTCCTACTCACGGTGATGCACGCGTGTCAGGAAGACTGCCCCACAGGGTTTCCTTGGCAGTCACCTTGGAAGCAGATCCCCAGGTCTTTTTTCCGTAGTGCCACTGGTTGGGTTCCAACTGCCAGGTTTTGGTTAACACCCACCCAGAGACCTTGAAAAGCCATAGGAAGACCACAAAGTGTTATCCCAAAGGAGAACAGAA